ATTTATGCATGTCACGATCAAATCATTGAGAATTTTATAAAAATGAGTAATATGGGTTGGGTTTTTATTGCAAGCTTTGATATTTGAGTGGAAATTTTAATAACGAATGAGTAAACAGAAAATTTTTGAGTGTCATGCATGTAATTGCACCGAGATAATTACATGTATAGCACTTAAAAACTATCTATTTACAAAACTAGCACTCAGGCCTGCTTTTTTTTTTAACTACTAAACCCATGTATTTATGCTATCCCCAATGAAACCTTTGGGAATTTCATAAAAATGAAAATTATGGATTGGTGTTTTATTGTGAGATTTCATACTCGGTTAAGAATTTGAATAACTAGTAAAATTTTTAGTGGTGTGTGCGTTATTACCACATAAATGGGATAATTACATATATAGCACTTGAAATTTATTGAAATTTCATTTTCCACCCAGTTTCCAGAATTTAAGACAATAATGGCCATACTTAATGCAGGAATACAGTAGGAGTCAAATAGTAGGATTAGTGAACCTGGTGGCCGCCATGAAAGGGTGGAAGAGGAGGACAAGATTAGAAGTTCTTGACAGGATTGAATCAGGCATGTAAATTTCTATTTATATTTATATGTTATTTTATTTTATTTTATTTTATTTTCTAGATGTAAATTAGATGAAATAATTCCATTTGTATTGACTGTATATCCCCATGAACCATATAGTTTTTTGTATCATAATCCTCTATGGATTAAAAATGAAACAAAGAAAAAATTCAGAGTAATTAATATCTGATTTCCATAATCCAATAAAGAAGGCTTGCTTCTCAATTGCTAGAAACTGCTAAGTTTTTTGTCAATCTGCTTGATATGCTCAAAGATAGAGGACTGCTATGAAATTTTACTCCTTTTTTTTTATGATTTCCTGATGAAATTTTATTATGACATTTTATGGGTTATTATTTCATAACATTTGTAAAGTGTAGGGGTGTATGTGAGTCAAGCCGACGACTCGTGAGCCGGCTAAAGCTTGGCTCAATAAGTGGCTCGTGAACTGAGCTTGCGAGCTAACAAGTCAAGCTCAAGCCAACCCTGACTTGTTAGCTCGTGGTGTTAATAATATTTACAAAATAATATTTAATAATGTATTTTAGATGTTTTTTTTCTTTATCTTCTAATTGTTCATTCTAATTGGTATCTTGTTATAAATCTAGGTTAAATTAATATCATTTTCTCTCATCCATAATAAACAAACCGGCTCGCTAGCTGGCTCAAAC